CGAGAGGTATGAGCGAGTTCCAAAAGCCACAACTCAAATCCAAAAGCCACAACACAAATCCAAAAGCCACAACACAAATCTAAAAGTCACAACACAAATACAAGTCACAACACAACAGAAGTGAGTGACAACAGAGAAACGGCATGGCCTGTTATTAGCAGCAGACTTATTTGTCTACTAATGTGTGGAAGAGGAAAGTTGTTGCCCGTTATAATTGTGATAAATTATGTTATTCAGTGTCAGTTTTCAGTTACCATGGTACTCTGAACAATCGGATTTAGCAATCATGTATTTGTGATTTGAAAATGCAGCAGATTTTACATTTTAGGCATCTGTATTTAGGCTCAACATCATCCAGTGGCTTTATTTCAGCTTCTTCACAGAAAAAAAAAAATTCCACTCTTTTTATTATGAGCTCATGGTGACTTGATGCTGTGTAATATCTGAATGTGAGGGGGAAGGCGCTGCTCAAAGAAACGACTGACAGAGCATAAAAGTAAACTTCGATATCCAATCCAATCCAATCCAATCCAACTTTATTTGTTAAGCACTTTAAAACAACCAAAGTTGACCAAAGTGCTGTACAGGAGAATAAATAAGACATCATAAATAAAAGACATAACAGCTCATATGAAGCGCAAAAAATTACATATAAAATAAAACAATAAAATTAAAAGACAAAAAACATGAGTAATTAAAGCTGCAAGCAGCGATGGACGGGACCTCGCACTCCACGCAACTCTGGGCGTGCTGCGGCCGCGTCACATGCTGTCGGGGTGTGCTGGGGCTGCGTCACGTGCCGTCGTAACACGTGCGGACCACAACATGAAAATCTCACGTAAATCAGCTAAAAATCGCCACGCAGCAGTTGCTTCCTGTTGCCAGTAGGTGGCGCTATCACTATGTCTGAATATTGTCATGTAGACGTGCTCAGGGCAGAACTCTTATCAAACACATGAAGTTTATTGGAGATTGGACATTGCACACTGAAGTTATGAGTACTGTTTAATGGAAAATCGGCTGAATTCGACAAGTCGTCACTAGCACGCAGTTTGACGTACAGTCACAAATAGCTCAACTCTTCATCTACAGTTTGTTTTTATAAGACTGTCCAATTTTGAAGTAGATTTGATAAGTCCCCTATTTATGTTGCAATTCAATACTTGACTTCCAGCGGTTTCCTACTATACTCCACAAACAATACTCCCTAGGAAATATGGTTTGTAGATGTGGCTAGTGGGAGTGTTTGTGTTTTATCACTTCGGAAAAAAAAGACCACAGAATTCAAAATGGCCAACTTTGACAAGACACCAGGGACATGCCCTTCAACGTACAGTCATAAATAGCACAACTTGTAATCAGCAACATTATTCAAGAGTACTGTCAAGTTTTGAAGCAGATCTGATAAATTCTCTAGGAGTTCGTTTGTTCAAATACAAAACCACGGACTTCAAAATGGCCAACTTTGACGGCACGCCACGGACACACCCTTCAACATACAGTCAAAAGATGAACAGTGTTCATTCAGCACCATTTTTTGACTGCACTGACCAATTTTGAAGTAGATCCAATAAAACCTGTATGAGGAGTTAGTTAAAATAGAAGCCCTGAAATGCCAAAAATGACATCACAGTGTGACAAAATGGCCAACTTTGATGGCACGCCACGGACACGCCCTTCAACGTACAGTGAAAAAATGAACAGCGTTCATTCAGCACCATGTTGTGACTGTACTGACCAATTTTGAAGCAGATTCCAGAAATTCCCTAGGACGAGTTTGTTCACATGCAAGGCGAAAATTCACTGAAAATGACCACGGACTTAAAAATGGCCAACTTTGACGGCACGCCACGGACACGCCCTTCAACGTACAGTTACAAATTGAACAGCGTTCATTCAGCACCATGTTTTGACTGTACTGACCAATTCGTTCGTTCAAATACAAGCCCAAAAAGTCAAAATGACCACAAAATGATGAAAATTCTAAATTGAAATGGCCGACTTCCTGTGGGATTTGGGGTATGGGTCCAAGAGGCTTTTTTGTGCGTCCCGGCATTTTAAACGTGCCCACTGAGTTTCGTACATATCGGTGAAACGTGGCGCCGAGGCTGCTTTTTTAAAATCTTGTAGGGGTCGCTACAAACACGACATACAGGAATTTTGTGAGCTACAGGCACAACTCTACACGTAAATGGTAAATGGACCTGTACTTGTATAGCGCCTTTCTAGTCTTCCGACCACTCAAAGCGCTTTTACACTACGTGCCACATTCACCCTTTCACACACATTCACTCAGTGATGGCAAAGTCCATCGAACAGAAACTAACTCATTTATACACATTCACACACCGATGCACGGCATCGGGAGCAATTTGGGATTCAGTATCTTGCTCAAGGATACTTCGACATGTGGCACCAGGGGCTGGGGATCGAACCCACAACCTTCCGATTTAGGAATGACCCGCTCTGCCTCTGAGCCACAGCCGCCCCTGTGCCCTGTGAATTTCATATTCATAACTATTACGGTCTCCGCACAGTGATTTATCATGCCAAAAGAGCGCCACCTAGTGGCGTATTTTTTTTGTCCTTTTTAAGTGAGCCTCAGGGAGCCATGGGGAAGCATTGTACCAAGTTTATGGATGACGGATTACCGTCTCAAAGTGCTGCCTTGATAGAATTGGCTTTATTTTGGCCAGCTGCCTCAAATGGAAAAAGCTTGATTTGACAACAGCCTTGATCTGACTGTCAAACCTAAGCTCAGGGTCTACTTTAACCCCTAGGTTTGTGATGCTAGGTTTAATATACTGGGCCAAGGAACCCAGATCTACAGGGGTCCCAGGGGTGCCACCAAAAACCGTCTTTTTATCATTGAAATTTAAAAAGTTCAGAGCCATCCAGGCCTTTATGTCGTCGAGACACTTCAGTAGTAGTCTGACAGATTATTCACCTTTCTTTTTAAGAGGCACATAAATCTGACTGTCGTCTGCATAACAGTGGAATGAAAAGCTGTGCTTATTAAGTATGAAACCAAGTGGGAGCAAATAGAGAGAGAAAAGGAGAGGGCCAAGAACTGAGCCCTGTGGGACCCCACATGAGAGAGGAGCAGAGGAGGATACAGAGTCACCTAGGCTGACACAGAAAGTTCGATCAGCCAAGTACGACCTGAACCACTCCAGTGCTATGCCCCTGATGCCTACCCACTGCTTCAAACGTGAGATCAATATTTCATGATCCACTGTGTCAAATGCAGCAGTTAAATCTAAAAGCACAAGGATAACACAGTCACCAGAGTCAGTAGCTAAAAAGATATCATTAAAAACTCTTAAGAGAGCTGATTCGGGTGCTGTGCAGGGTTTTAAAACCGGATTGGAAAACCTCTAGGATACAATTATATTAATTGACTGTGCACAATCTTCTCCAGGATTTTTGAAAGGAAAGGCAGTTTGGACATAGGCCTGGAATTAGCAAGAACTGCAGGATCTAGAGCAAGTTTTTTAAACAGAGGTTGTACTACTGCATGTTTAAAATTTTCAGCGACCACACCTGAGGTCAGACTGCTATTTATGACTGCAATAACAGATGGTCCTACAGTGGGGAAAACCTCCTTAAATAGTCGAGGGGGGACAGCATCATTTGGAGAACCTGAGGACTTCAAATGACCAACAACCTCCTGTAAAAAGGAAAAAGTCACAGGCTCAAAATGGTCAAAGACAGCAGAGCAGGGGACAAAGATTGAGGGGTCATAAGCTGAAGGTGAGATTTGAGCCCTAATTGAAGTGACCTTATCAATAAAAAAGTGAAGGAAGTTTTCTCACAGCAGGGGACGCCTCCATACAGGCAGTCTGCGGGGCATTCAGAAGTGAGTCAATAGTGTTAAACAAAACACGAGGCTTGTGACAGTTTGACAGGATAATATCTGAGAAATGTTTTCTTTTAGCATCTTTCACAGTTTTTTGATAATGACGCCAGCAGTTCCTTAACATTTGAAAAGACACCTGCAGTTTGTCCTTTTTCCACTTGCGCTCAGCTCTACGGCACTCACGTCTGACCGCATGAGTCGTATCATTTAGCCAGGGCTCAGATTTAGTTTTAGGCTGCCTGGATTTTAATGGAGCCACAGTGTCTAAAACAGTTTGGCAGGTGGAGTGAAACCATGAGCTAAGCACCTCTGTACTGCACACAGACTCAGGAAAGATGGAGTTCTGATTGAAAGCAACGGAGAACTGAACAGCAGTGGAAGGGTTAATAATGCGACAGTGCCAAGCAGCAGCGCGAGGTTTAACTGTATGACAGGCAAGGGCAGCCTCAAATAATACAGGCATATGATCAGAAAAGATCAAGTGTGTGTCCGTGTTCTTGTGTGGGCCCAGACACAGATTGCACAAGATTAAAAGAATCAATGAGGTTTGAAAAACCCTTTGCCATTGGCTTATCAGGACAACACACATGAACATTAAAAGAAGAACACGGTCATATTTAGGCATGCTTTCAGCCAGGAAATCAGAGAAGTCATTTAAAAGTCCTTATTGTACTTGGGAGGCCGATAGACCACAGCACACAACACTGTGTGAGAGCGACCAAACTCAAATAAGCTCAGTTCAAAGCTGGTGAAATAGGATGACAGCAATAGCTGCTTACATTTATATTCCTCCTCCTTGGACGAACGTCCGCGGGGAGTTAAAGTAGCAGCAATCATGGGGTAAATGTTCAGTGAAAGCGCTGGATTCACCAACACTCAGCCATGTCTCAGTCACACAGAGGAAATCCATTTGCTAGTGATCTAGCATTTACCAGGCCAATCCTGGCAGGAACCGGCAGGGCCGCGGCGTTGGCTGTCCGGCGAGCCCGACACAGAGGCCGCAAGTTGCTGTGATTCACCCCGCGCCAGCGGGGATGTGGAGAGCTTGATGATTGCAGGGATGTAGGGTTTAAACCTCTGTCGTGGAAATTCTTCCCAAAGTTGAGAGGTGCTAAGTCTCTGAAGAACTTTCAAGCCGGTGTGATAATCAAGTCAATTTAATTCATGCTGCATGGAGAGAAGGTCACGTCGTGGATGTTCTCTCCCGACTTCCAAAATGCTGTCCCTTATATACATTTCAGTGCATCTCATTACATCACAAACAATGAAAACCCCTGTGTGTCTTGCAAATGTTACCCCTGTAAATCCAGGTCTCTCTCACCAAATGGTCCTTTGATGTGTGACTTCCCCCTGGCTCTTCCTATCATAAACTCAACCTTTTGACCAGGGACACATCTATTTTATTACCCCCAAATCCTGTTTCTCTCCCACATTCCCTCCTTTTGACACGTGTCAACTAGACACAATATTTCCTTTAAACATTTTAACAAGATTACTAATGATTAAAAATTACAAGTTAATATGAAACATTTTTTTTAACCTCGAACAATACAAAAGAAACAAAAAGAAAAATCAAAAACACATTATATCACTCTAACTATACCAATACTTCATCTTCATCACTTTTACTGTATGGATTTCCTGGGGCCCAATCTGCTATGGTACAACATTCTTCACTATCATTACTTTGTTCCAAAGGTATTTTCACATAGACTGGTGTAATTCCTCCTCCAACTACCCCCCTATCCATCTGTACAGGAGGGCTCGCATACATGTGAGTGCACATCTGTTGTTTTATCTTGAGGATGTCATCTTCTTCTGGGATCTCCTGATCCTGCGTAGGTGACATGCCAATGCCACTTCTACCCTCTGAGTCCTGTATAGTTGTTGATTTATGGGACCTTTTGGACCCCATTTATTGCCAGTTCTCATCTTGTTGCTGGAATGATGACCAAGCAACAGCCATCACGCTCATGGTGAGAATTGTAGCCACAACTCTAATCATTTCCCAAACGTGAGGTTGTCTCCTTATCAGGGAAAATTTTGCTCTGGGATGCATGGATCCACGTGTCCCTCTCAGCTATCCGGACAGCGGTTGGTGTTGTCAACAGCACTTGATATGGTCCTCTCCACCGGGGTTGATGCCAGTGTTTCCTCCTCAGATCCTTGACCACTACCCAGTCTCCTGGCTGGATGTTGTGCAGTTGGTCAGATGCAGAATCAGGGAGGGCAGCTTTTAACTTAGGAAAGATAAGCTTCAGAACATGGTTAAGTGCACAACAGTATGTTACCATTTCGTCATCCATCCCAGTCAGAGTTAACCTATTTTGAGGGAAAGGAGTGTTAGTCATTCTCATGGGACGGCCAGTGATTACCTCATGTGGTGATAGGCCAGTTGTCTTGTGTGGGCGGCCTCTCATAAACATTAAGGCTAAAGGCAGTACCTCAACCCATGACAACTTTGTTTCAGCCATTAACTTGGTTAACTTTGTTTTTATGGTCTGATTAGCCCTTTCCACTGCACCTCCACTAGCTGGATGGTAAGCACAGTGTGTTTTGAGGTTCACCTGGATGCTTTCTGATAAACTTTGAATGATACGATTCACAAAATGAGGACCATTATCACTACTTAGTTTTGATGGAAGTCCCCACCTTGGAATTATTTCCCCCAGCAACGCCTTTGCTACTGAGACAGCAGTTGCCTGTCTACATGGGAAACATTCAATCCACTTTGAAAACATATCCACTATTACAAGGCAATACTTATATCCCCTGCATGGAGTGAGCTCAATAAAGTCCATCATCATGTGTTCAAATGGTCCTTCAGGTTTAGGATGGGCTGATAGAGGTAGTGAAATTCCTCTCCCTACATTGTTCGTAGCACAAATAACACATTTTTTACAAAAGTTTTCAGCAAAAGTAGAAAACCCTGGTGCATAATATCTAACATCCCCCCTTTTGACACATGATCTGGCCCATGGGTCAATTTTGCCAAAAAAGGGAATATAGATTTCGGCAGTACTGGGAACCCATTGGGGTTTACCCATACTCCGGACATGAGTTTAGTGCACCCTTTCCTTTTCCAGAGGGCGTTCTCCCCAGCGTCAGCTCCTGCTTGAAGCAAAGAGACATCATTAAGGGAAAAAACATCATCCTGGACAGAAAGGGGCATTTGCAAAATAGGGGAGACAGGTGAAAGAGCAGCAGCCTTTGCTGCTTCATCAGCAGACGCATTTCCATGTGCCACCGGATCAGAGACAGGCAGTAGCAATGCAGACAACAAGTTAATGATGAGAGTGCGATGAGCAATAGGCTTTCCTGTGGAAGTAAGAAACCCTCGATTTTTCCACAAAGTATGGAAATTATGGCACACATTGAATGCATACTGGGAGTCAGTATACACTGTGATGTTCTGTCCTACACCTAAAATAAAAGCACGGGTTAATGCAAATAATTCAGCTGCCTGTGCAGAGAGGTTTTTAGGCAGTCTGGCACTTTCAACAATTGCATGTTCATTACACACAGCATAGGACACACTTGGTAATCCATTGGATGGATGCCTCATGCCAGAACCATCTACAAAGAAAACAGAATCAGAGTTAGGAAGTGGAGTGTCGAAAAGCGCATCTCTTGGTTGTGATACTGTGTCCACCACCTCCAGACATGCATGTGGTTCTCCATCATCAGCTGTAGGGAGTAAGGTTGAAGGGTTAAGGACAGTACAGCGCTTTAGAGCGACATGCGCCATGGTTAGGGTTAGTAAAACATTCTGCCAATGTAATATTCGTGCTGGTGTCAAGTGAGCTGTTTTAGCTTGAAGGATTAGAGAATGGACAGCATGTGGAACATGAACAGTTAGTGTGCACATAGCAACAATGTCAGCGGTGGCTAAGACTGCTTCGGTAGCGGCTGCTACAGCTCTTAGACCTGCTATCATAGCCCTCTCAGTAATATCCCCATGGGGTTGAGTCAGGACTGCTGACATAAATCCATCCCTCTCAGACACAAACAGATTAAATGGTTTGGTAGCATTTGGGAGTCCTAAACAAGGAGGACTAGATAAAGTCTGTTTTAAGTCAGTGAAGGCTTTTTCTGCCTCAGAAGTCCAAGTCACACAGTCAGTCATGGCCAGGTGTTTACCCCCGTGAGTGATGTCATACAGGGGTTGGGAGATCTCCGCAAAATTTTGAATCCATGGACGGCAATAGCCTACTAAACCTAAAAATGACATCATTAGTTTTTTTGTTGTTGGTTTTGGGACATCCAAAATAGCTTGAATGCGGTGCGGACCTAATTTGCGACCCTCTGGTGTAATTATATGACCCAGATAACGCACTGATTGCGACACTAGCTGCACCTTATCCTTAGAAACTTTATGACCATTATCTGCAAGAAAACAGAAGAATGACACTGTATCCCTTTGGCAATCCTCCCTTGTAGCTGAACATACAAGCAAATCATCCACATACTGCACAAGCGTACTTCCACATGGTGGCTGCCAATGTGACAGGTTTTCAGCTACAGTTATAGAAAACAATGTTGGACTTGAAGCATAACCCTGAGGCATTCTCGTCCACGTATACCTCTTGCCATTGAAGGTGAAAGCAAACCAGAACTGTGAGTCAGGATGAACAGGAATACTGAAATATGCATTAGCCAAATCAATTACTGTAAACCAACAAGCCCCTGATGGCACTTGTGACATTAATGTTGTAACATTGGGTACAGTCGGTGCCAAATGTTGCACAGCTTCATTTATACCCCTAAGATCTTGAACTGGTCTCCAGGACCCATTTGGTTTCTTAACAGGTAAGATGGGGGAGTTGCATGGTGAGTTAGGGCATTCCACAATGGCACCCTGATCTATTAGCGCCTGAATGACCGGAGCAATGCCCGCAACAGCTTCTGGACTAAGCGGATATTGTCTTTTACTTGGTCTAAAAGTAGATTTAGCCTGTACTCTAACAGGGGTTGCTCCCTTTATATCCCCAAAATCAAATTTACTCTTAGCCCACAAACATTCTGGTACTGTTGATAACAATGCTTCCTCTTCAACTGTCAAAGGCATTAGTCTGACTCCATGTATGTGTGTATGTACAGTCCTAACATGATACAGACCCGCAATAACTGATGTTGCTTTTATCCCTGTTGGATTACAATGTACATCAATACTCAAAGCACACATTAGATCCCTACCCAGAAGGTTCACTGGGCATACATCAGAAAGGAGAAATTGATGTTCTCCCCTGTAATCCCCAAAACTGACCGATAATAGATCAGATACCGGTTCAAATGATGGCATACCTGATGCACCTATTGTTTTTAGACGTTTTGTTGTTCTAGGGGCTTCAGGAATTACTTTACTTTGGATTACAGATACCTCTGCTCCTGAGTCTACAAGGAATGTCACTTTAACTCTAGCACAGTAAGAGTCAACCTAGGGGGCGTTCTAGAATCCAATGTTAACTGTACGTATTGCTGATATGTAACAACAGGTTTGTCATGGTCTGCATCTGTTTCTATGTGTGTGCATGTGTCTGTGTGTGTGTTTGTCCCTATCTCTATGTTTATGTGCTGCTCAATTCTCTGACCTGCCTCCACTGTCTCCTATGGTTGCTCTGCCTGGAATCCTGGAGAATGCACAGCAAGTCCTCTCGGTGGTGCATGTGGCCACATCTCCTCTGGCTCGTGTCCCCTTTGTTTGTGAGGCCCTGCGTTAGGACACTCCCTCCACATATGGCCTAGGTTGTTGCATTGCTGTTATCCATTTCTCACCTCCAGCCTTTTGGGGGTCAGGTAATTCCCCTACAATTTCCTTCAGCTCATCTGGCTGCCATGGCCTGTAGACAAACACCTCTGGATCCCACTCGGCGGATCTGTCGCTTGGCATCGGCTGGGGGTTGGGGAACCTCATCATGGGCATTTGGTGCACACCCCCTCTGCCTCCTTTACTTCGGAGCCAGTGACCATGCGTGATAGTTGGAAGGGACTCAGGCTGTTTAGGGGGTTCAGAGACAGTTAGTTTATGGCCACCCTGGCCTTTGTCCTCTGGAGTTTGGCCCAAGGATAGGGTGGAGATGTCAGGATACAATAGCTCTGTTTCCTCTTCACCATCAGAGTCTGTCTTCTTAATTGCGGGGGTGGTCTCCCCTTTATGCAAAATGGTGTTGAGGCAGCTTTGCAGATGTTGTGGAGACAGCATATGGAGGAGGTAGAGCTTTCCCTCTAGCCCTACGTACCTTTTTTAGCCTTTCACTCTTTCCTTTACCTTCTTCCTCTACTTCTTGTTTCACCATTATCCCCCTTTCTGACTTAGCTTCCTTCACTTCTGCTTCTCTCTCCCATTTCTGGAAAACCTGCCAGTTAATTTTCTCCTTCCCTACTTTCTTGTCTCGTATTCCTTCTTCTAACATTACTCTACACCTTCTTAAACAAGCTGTACTGAGTGTACCTACAATGGGAAACACATCTTGAGTCACATGGTGCCACAGTGGAACATTTCCCACCACGCTTTTACCCCATTTCTCTGCCATTAATTTAGCAGGACCTGTAAGTGGATCAGGCAAAGACATTAACTTCCCATGTTTATTCCCCATGTTTCCACAGATTCACTTGAACGGTTATGCTTTGAACTTCTCTGGGCTTATCAGTCACACACTTTTTCTCTTTCACTCTGATCTTTCCACACCAAAATGTAGTCGGATCTTATCAATCACACAAAAACCTTTGAGTAATACAGATCAGCCAGGTGGTTTGTATGACACATACGTTCAGAGCAATGGGTATAGCATGTATACCAGACACTGACTGAATTACCACAAAGTTTATATTTTTACTTTCCTTCACACATACGCCCTCATTGTATTACACTCTAATACTTCACTTAAGGGCCACTTTAATGTGGGTTACTATCCACCCAGTGTTATATACTTAATACTTTTTACTTCTACTTATTTTACTTTTATCCACAAGTCTGGTTATCCTTTTTATGTTTTTTTTTTTTTTTTTCATTCCGTTCCAACACCTCCTTTGGCATTTACATGAGTACCAGCCCAATACCACGATAGGATCTTACATGGAAACGCCAGTACCCCTCAGACACTGGGCCAGTACCCCTCAGACACTGGGCTTGTACAGACCAAACACAACCACTCAGGAAAATGCTGTCTACCTAGGCTTTTTCACACATGAATTGATTCAACACACCGTACTCACTGTTCAAAAAAAGATGGAGCGGTCGCTGTCCACAACCCTGGCCTGACGTCCGGCGGGATCCTGTCCTCCGTTTGTCGGAGCGGAAATCTCCCTACTGCAGTTTTACCTTCAGTCTAGACCCAGGGGTTGATCAGCGACTCGTCCATCCCATCCTCGTCGCCAAAATGTCGTGGAAATTCTTCCCAAAGTTGAGAGGTACTAAGTCTCTGAAGAACTTTCAAGCCGGTGTGATAATCAAGTCAATTTAATTCATGCTGCATGAAGAGAAGGTCACGTCGTGGATGTTCTCTCCCAACTTCCAAAATGCTCTCCCTTATATACATTTCAGTGCATCTCATTACATCACAAACAATGAAAACCCCTGTGTGTCTTGCAAATGTTACTCCTGTAAATCCAGGTCTCTCTCACCAAATGGTCCTTTGATGTGTGATCCCCCTGGCTCTTCCTATCATAAACTCAACCTTTTGACCAGGGGCACATCTATTTTATTACCCCCAAATCCTGTTTCTCTCCCACACCTCCTCTTCATCATCCTCCGTTTAATCCCCGCTCTGCAGCCTCGCCGTCTCCTCCTCTGTTCCTCCGGTATGGTGGCTCTCTCTCCAGTCAAGATGCTATTCTAGCTGACGGGACCCAGGCAGAACAAACGCCCAATTTACAGTGGCAGATTAATAAGGACTCCTGGGCAACTAGCAGACTTGTGCAAGCAAGAAATGGCAGAGCCAATCGAGGAGCTTGTGGGTGGTCTAAACTAAGGAAAACAGGCTTCAGCTTGACCGGCCGTTTTCTGCTTGGTCCTAGTGCTTGACGTGTCTCTGTTTACTATAGCGTAACATTATAGTTACTGATTCCAGACAATAATACCAAACTGAATACGTAAACTTGTAGAAGCTTTCTCTTTTGAGTCAGTAGATCATGGAATAACAAAAGATGCAGACTCTCACAGAGGTGACAGGGTTTCAGGAGAAAACTGAAATGAAATACCCAGACGAGGAAACAGCACAGTTTACCCTTGTACCTGCACTGCAGGGTTTTGGGGTTCAATTTGGGAAAACATAAAATAACATAATGACATAATTTTGTCAGTAAGTGAGCAAATTAGCAGGTCAAGGTGAGACACACCGCTGAAATGATCAATGCTGAAAAAAGGAGTTTTGCCATGAGTGCGTGCACACACACAGCCCATGCTCACTGGTGTTCAGCTGTAATCAGGATGAACCATGGCTGACTCCTGTGTCAGGCGGCAAGAGTAGGAGCCCAAGCCAATCCATCACTGTGACGTATGAGAGAGGGAGGGACGAAGGGAGGGAGAGATGAAATCTATACTGACAGACACACACAGAGAGACAGACAGAGTTTTTTCAAATAAAAATGATTCTACATTTACAATAGTTTGCAACAAATACAATTCCAGACTACACCACTAAAGCATACATAAATAAATAAAATCTGAGAAAGTTATTTCCTTTAAACAAAAAAGTATGCTTTCATACTTCCACAAATTTTAAAAACCATCCAAATCCTCCATTTTAACACAATATTTCTATTCTAAAAATACTTGTGCTCTAACTAGACTCTTAAAAACAAATAAACAATCAAACTTATGCCCTCTATCTAGTATCATTTCCTATGTAAAGCCACAGTAGTGTTATGTTAAACAGAGGAACCCACAAGCAGAACACAGATGGTTGGTTATGATTTCCAAAGACAGGCTTTATTGAGAACCAGCTGATGAAACGGTGACATGAAGCTCCTGCTGGCAGTGGGGAGAGGATTATGGCTGAGATCCAGGCGGAGTGGAACCGAAGATGGAGGCAGCGTGGCTGATAAAAAGGAGCGGGCAGGTAGCTGACGTGAAGGTGATGATCCAGAGGCATGAAATAACAAGGTTAACTTTCTCAGCACGAACAGGAAAAAAACTTATCTTAAAGTTCTCTTACTGGCCAAGAAAGTTACTACCAGGCATGTAGAGACAACGATCTGGCAGAGAGTGGATGGAGAACCAGGGTTTATATACTCCAGGACTGATAATTTGATGGCTGGGAGGTTTGAGCAGTCAGACAGGTGAGCAGGTAATCAGGGTGGGAGGAGTCCACACACACGCACACACAGAGAGACACAGGGACACCAGGGAGGAGAAAACTCTAGCAACTACTGACCATAACATGTAGGTAATAACATATATATATATATGTATAATATATCATATTTGCTGATGAAAGTTTCAACATATTTGACAAAAATAATGTTTTTAGAAAAGTTCCCTAATGAAGCTTAACAAATTGCCAACTTTGCCTTACCAAATTCAGCATCAAACCTTTTTCTTCTTCTTTACCATGACAGAGAGACAGGTAGAAAGACTGATATATAAAGACAGAAAGAGAGATTGTGAGATGTAATGATGATGATAATGTAAAAATGATTTTTTTTAACGCTCTTGCAATATTGGTCATGAAATTCATACCAATTAATAATATTGAATTGAAGTGAACTGAGATTGCACATATTGTATAATATCATGTAATGAATTCACATACAGGCACATATCATTGGTGTGAAAATATTTTCCAATATGATTTTATATTATAATAATATATATTTTATTGTAGGTTTATATTATTGTTACATTTCATTGCTGAATAATGCTAAATATTATTAACATATTTAATTAGAACCATTATAATATCAGAATTGCTCTTCATTTATGAATTTTAGAGTGTCAATCCAAATAATTACTTCAGCATCAGTTGGAATTTTGTGGATAGTGGTTGTATTCTGTAGGTGTCATTGGGGCTCCAGGACACTCCTTGGTTAAGGCTGATGTCGAGCTGATAGCTAGTGGATGGCAATGGGTCAGGCCGGGGCAGTGGGCTGCTGGTGGAAGGTGTTGGCTCAGTGTGTTGTGTGTTACTGGGGGCAGGCAGTAGAACTGGAGGTTGGCGGTGATACAGTAAGGCTTTGAAGTTGGCCTTTCAGGCTCAGTATGGTTATTGAGGTGCAGATCTTTCTTCACCGGTGAGAGCTCCATCTTTTAAGATTGACTGTATTAAGACATACATTTAAATATTCTGCTTGGAACAATAATGTGTGTCTGATTTTACTTTCCACAAAAAAAGCATCGACTCCACCGACCTCATTAAAAAATGGTAGAATCCAGTAATATGCAAATGCAAGATGTCTACTACTTCACTGTAAAGTCCATTCTGTACACTGGTGGCTTCAGGTTTCTATATCACACTTGTGAAAGTTGCATACTGGACCAGGACAGACTTCCACAGTACTTGTGATGCAAATCATGCTCATAGAACCCTTAAATATCAGCTTTTCCACCACTATGACCACAGAGAAACTTTCAGCAGATGAATGTGAAAACATCTTTCTAGTGTCAAACTCTAGGCTTTTATTTTACTTGGTTAGTGGTCCTTCTTAGTGTAGTTTGGTGGATGGCAAGCTCTGTGTTGTGGTGGGGATAGAGTCTTCTGAGGCCCTGGCATAGGGTCCAGCCTAACCCATCTGTTCCAGTAGAGGCGGTTCTCCTGGCTGTGGGAGTCTGAGTGGAACACAACAACGTGTCCTATGCTTCCAGGATGAACAGTCGTGTAGCTGTTTTCCTGAAAGAGAAGCAAGCTTCTGGAAGCTGGAGAGCAGTTTTAGGACTGCGGGTTAAGGCTGTGAGAGTGATAAGCTGAAACATGTCCAGTCTTTCAGGAGACAGCTGTTCATGTTTCTGAACTGTCCATCTCAGATGCTGGAGGTTTCCTTTCAAGCAAATCATAGGGAGGGACATTACATGGTGTACCCCAGGACAGGCAACATGAAATGTTTCGAGTGTGGGGATGCACAGCTCAAGAGGACCACTTGTCCTCAAAGGCCCGGCTAAGGGGTGTCTCCGGGTCAGCCAAGAAGTTGCCGAATGCCAACTGAGCCTGAGGCATGAGAGAGGCACAGTGGAAAGGCAGACAGTCAGGCCGGGAAACTGCATGGGTAGATGACTACAGCTCTGCTGTCCTGAGCGTCAGAGCAGAAGAAAGCAGAGAAAAGAAAAGAAAGGTAGCAGACCAATTGGAGAGAGCAGCAGGAAAGGGCCGGCAGCTGAATCTGACCAAAGTCAAGCTGCTGGTGAGATGAGAGAGCGAGAGCTGTGTGATATGGAGAGTGTTGCTGCTGAGGAGGAAATGGAGTACAACACTGATTCTCACGGTGTCTCTGTTGGAGACTCACAGTCATATAGCAGATATCTGCAAGCTAGAGGAAATTAATGAGTTTCTAGATTAAATTTATGGAAAATCTGCGTATCTGAATATTCTCCAGATTACTTCGCAGGAAGTAGTTGGTGTGAATTTGTTAAATGAAATCAGGTCTCAGAAAGATGCTTAAGGTTAACAGAGGAAAAGTCCAAAAAAAACTGCATAAGTAAGGTCATAATGACACTGGGTGATATTCCTCTTACTGTATCCTCTACTTGTTTATATCATCTGGACTGGATGGACTGCCTGCAGACTTTTACAAGTACTTCTGGAAGTGCTCGGGAGCTGACCTGTGGAAGGTGATGCAGGAGCGCTCTCAGACAAGCCTTACCAGCCTCCTATTGGCATGCACTTTTCAGATTTGGCTTTATCGAACTGGAGATGAGTGGCTTTGTTAAGCACAGACTACATACTTCTTTCAAAGGTGCTCACCACCTTATGCTTAAAAACTTTCTGGATGTAATAATCAACATCATCATGTTACTGCAAGAAGTGTGGGACTAAGTGAGTCTGTGGGAAATCTGTAAGAAGCAGTCCTAAGTAATGAAGGAATAATTAACACCCTGGAAAATAAGGCCAATATTCACGCTGTAATGTTCAAACACAATGCATAGGAAGCAGCAAAAGGTGTACTGTGGTTAAAACAGGAAAGTCAGTAAATCAGTCACTGATCTGTGAATAATTGTGGGTGAGTCTTACAGTATCTGCTGTCCACAATTGCTTTATATTGTATAAAAAGCTCCTCCTTCAGTTCATGAAGTCCCTGCAGCATTTGATGGCATGGACGGATATGTTGTTTTAAGTGCTGCACCAGAGCGCAGTGTCTTTACGAACGACTGTTCACTGAGTTTACTTTCATTTAATTGTTTGAAAACAGCAGGCCATACAGAGCTCTACACACATCAGACTGGTCGGATATAACTCAATATTGTGCTTTTTTATGAAGGAGACATCCGGTTACCAGGGCTTATTATAGCCTCATCCAACTTTCTGTTTTGGCAAACGTAGCATCTCATGTTTTATCTGTGAAACACACAATGCAATGCAAACGCTGTTGTGTGACATCAATTACTGAGCTATATGACCATGTACGAGGTGAGATACATGATAATTATTACTAAAAGAGGGTCAGTAAGATAAGTTATAATAATACATGTGGTTTCACCAAATCATTGTCTTTATTTTGATACAGTATTTAATAATCTCCACCTATGATCTATATGATCTATATATGATCTTCACCCTGCAAGTTGCGCTGCTGAACATACATGGACCAAATTAGAAGGTGCGCATGAAGACACACATACAGTCTGTGCGCCTATAAGACCACCTTGTGCTTGGAATTAAGGGTACAAAATATTAAAGTCAGGGTG